CTAACAAAATAACAATTAGGATTTATTATACTGTTACTCATTCGTTTAGACGATAAAAATCGGTGTTAATTTAGTTAAATAACATAGAAATTAATTGAACGCTTAATACTTTTTAATGTTAAATATTATTTTCAATGGAGCTTTAACACACGATAACTGCACCGTATATTTCAAAATCACCACCGGTCGTGTTTGATTTAGTCCAGCGGCCAATTGGGATTATATTGTTTTAAAATAACTTTTTTTTAATTTTATTATATAGATATATTCAAATAAATTTTATAATTAATTTTGTCCAAAATAATATTTAGAAAAAAGTTATATAACCTATTGAAAAATCACTTATTTTGCAACAAACGTACAATAATTAAGATACGTTAAATATAATAATTTATATTCTTTAAATATTGATTTGTTTGATCCAGAGACATATAAATTAAGATAAAACATAAATAATCTCAAATATGATACACTATCAATTTAATTAATTAATTTAAAATTGTACACTGTTAATATAATTAATTGAAGCAATATATTTTTAACTTAAATGCTAAATAATTATATATAGACTACATCAAACAATTAATTACCCATTAACGCAAAATTTTAAACGTGCAAATAGTTGCCAAACCAATTTTAATTAGAAGTTTATTAAAATCAATACTATTCGTGAAAATTTATAGTAAATACTTGATATGTTTAAAGTTTACATTAATATTATCTTAATACAGTATAATCATCCAACTATAATATAAAATACACATAATTTAAAAAAGTAATTAATGAAACGTGGTTAATTGTCTTTACAATCGCTTTCCACTTCCCCTTCATTTTCAATGTCCTTCTTATTAAAATTAATACCATTTTTATGATAATAGTATTGTTTCGCCATTTGTTTCAATCGAATAGACATTTCATTTCCCGTTTGTTTGACTAATTTGCTGAACAGACCATCGCTTGTGTCCAACAAATGGTGGGGAATGTCGTACTCAACCACTTGTCCCGCGTCTAACACCTGATCAGTCAATACATAGACAATGAGTACAACACAAGTGATGCGAACCCAACCCCCTATCAAACCCTGGCTTACCATCACTTTGTCGGAGTCGATGATAGTGTTGAGTCTGTGGGCAATCGTAATGACAGTACAGTATCTAAACCTCTGTCTAATAGTGGTCTGAATGAGAGCATCGGTTCTGTGGTCGACATTAGCGTGTTTTTATCAATTTTACACTATATTCCTATGGAGAGTATACCCAAGGGAAAACGTAATTTATAATAGATTGGGTTATTGAATTTAATTTTAATTCTCGCATATAATAGCTAGGATAGTTAGTTGTTAGTCATAAAATTTTCATTTAACTCCAAAATTACCCGAGAAAATTATGGTCATTTTGCGCTAACATAAAAAACAATGGTTTACAATGGGAGTTTCTATTCTCGATATGGCCTGTACATACTGTATATTCAAAGTAAAGGACATACATAACCCCTCCAAACGTTTTACATCCCTCGCGGCTCTGATATAGAAATAGCGACAAATAAACACTAATATCAACAAAAGTATTGCCGGAAATATAAGAAACCAATTGACGATTGCATTCAATATAAGACTCCCAATAATTACACATAAATTCTATGGGAATTTATAAAAAGTANACGATTGCATTCAATATAAGACTCCCAATAATTACACATAAATTCTATGGGAATTTATAAAAAGTATCAGTGAAATATTTTTAAATAACATAAGTAGATAATTAAATATTACAATAAGACAGTCAAACGCAGCCGATGGTAACAATTCGTCCACAATTCCCGTGTCTTTTGAAAATCTGGTTAGTATTCGCCCTAAAAATTATTGTTAAATGAATTGATTTATTAATCATTAAAATGATAGCAAACAGTATTACCAATGGGTGAGCTCTCGAACAGATGTATCGGTGATCTCAATAACGCACAAAATATTTTGTTATAGAGATTAACCGAAGATCTCATACACATTATGTAGAAACAAATAGCAGACAACAGAGTGGACACAAACAGACCAATGGTTAGACTCGTGTAGATAATTATATTGAATTTCTGATTCACTTCATTAGGGTTTTTGCTCATGTCATTAGTCCTAATAAAAAATTCTAATTAAATATTATATTCAAATAACTTTATATTGAAAGAAACTAAATTATAACTTTGAAAATATTTATATTAATAGTACTGACCATAAGCTTAACCAATAAACGCTTCCCTGATAAAGCACTTGAGAAGCGATCAAAAACATAATGGTAAGAATTACGAGCAGTGGTCCGGCGCCGGCCTTAATGTACGCCATATATACAGTAGACTTAACGGAACCAATCATTTTGAGTTCGGCGTTCACTGCCTGATCGTCCACTTCTTCCGCTTCCCTAACGTCCGTCACATCCGATCCCTCACTAATGGTTGAGACAATCGATGGCGAGACAGATGTCCTCCTTTTCACAGTTATGCTATAATTTGTTTCGTCGGTTTGTCTCTGATATGCCATGAGATCAATGCCGCCCTCTTTGAGCTGAGTGTAGGACCCGATGGCCACACACTCGCCGTCGTTGAGCACAAGTATTTGATGCGCGTCTTTGAGAAACTGAATGCTATGCGTCACTAAAATAGTCGCCTTGTCTTTCAGGTACTCAACACAACATCTGATCCAATAGTAAACAGATTAAGCATTTTGTCATTTGGATAATAAGTTATACTTTTGATAGATATGTTTGGCCACACGTGTGTCGACAGCACTCAAGGGGTCGTCCAAGAGGTAGATGTCTGCCGAGTGGTACAGAGCCCGGGCCAGACTCAGCCTAGCCTTCTGTCCGCCACT